GTGTCCCGTAAAAGTTCTTGATGCCTACATACAGCACCATCACTTACTGCCCTCGCAACCGTTATTACAACTACAAGGTGCAGTACTCACCACTACAACCTTCATGACCTACGTCAGGTCCTTGCTCACACAACTGGGCCTCAACGCAAACAATTACTCAGGACACTCCTTTCGTATAGGAGCCGCGTCCACAGCCTCCAGTTTCAACGTCCCAACTCATGTTATCAAAACACTGGGGCGCTGGAAGTCATCCGCTTACTCACGGTACATACCGAACCCAGTACAAGAGTTAAGAGATGCTTTCATAAACATGTCTGGTTGATAAATGTATATGTATTGGTTGTCTGTTAATAAATTGGATTACTTAATTTTTGCCCTCTTCTTTCTCAGGCCTACCTCATCGTCGGTTTCGGCACACCACAACCGACTTGCTCCTTTTATCATCCTACGCTTATTCATGGTATTTCACACTGTACTATCTTAAGCACCTAACACAAGTATTAAGGCAATTTGCCTGCATTTGTGGGAGGTGCTGGTTTTCTACCCCTAGCCTACTTAAGGCACTCCCCTTGCCTGGCTCCTTACCGTTCGAGGTCAGCGTTGAATGACCCTCCCACCACACCACTTTTAACATTTATTTTCCTTTCTATTTCTTTTCCTGGGTGGGCCCTCTTCTTTCTCAGGCCTACCTCATCGTCGGTTTCGGCACACCACAACCGACTTGCTCCTTTTATCATCCTACGCTTATTCATGGTATTTCACACTGTACTATCTTACTGTACTATCTTAAGCACCTAACACAAATATATTTTTTTGCATTGTATTGTATTATATATTTTAATATTGTGGTCCCTGAGGAAGTCCCTATTTTGTTAAAGGGACGAAACGCGTAGGACCTTTTCCACATTTATTTTATCTTTATATATTTTAATATTGAATTAAAGCTGCTTTTCCAAACCTTACCCGGAGTCCTGTATTGGAGAGAGAGTATCCAGGGGATTTTCCCAAGCCCCCCATATTTTCGGGGGAGGCACCTTACAAGCTTGAATCTGTCTGAATTCTGTGAGTGCATTTTTTATTGCGCAGTGTTCATATTGTAAATTGTATTACACTATATTATTTTTATTTCTTATTTAGATCAACAGCCGGTCCCCTCGCTGTGTTTTTTTCTATATATATATATATATATATATTTTTTTTTTTTTGCTGCTAGTTTCATGTAATATACTAATGTTTTTTTCTAGTTACTAAGTATATTACAATTCTCTTACTTAAAAAATATTTCTTAGCTATTTCACTTTTTAATCTGTGTTTTGATTACTATATTGTGTCCTCTTTTAATATAAAGTAAAAAAAAAAGAGATATCCAGGCACTCAAGCATTAAAGTTGCAGGCAGATTGTAATGTAACAAGAAGAGCAGCAACGTTTCGACCTTCACAGAGGTCTTTGTCAAGCTTGACAAAGACCTCTGTGAAGGTTGAAACGATGCTGCTCTTCTTGTTCCATTAAAATCTGCCTGCGGCTTTAACACTTGAGTGCCTGGATATCTCTTTTTTTGACTTAACGTGTTGGGATTGCTGGTCCTGTTCCAGAGCACCGCTGGCTGCTGGGATTGAGTGTGGTTCCTACAACTATCTCTTTTAATATATTGTCATAATGTTGTGTATGTAGTTACTTATTAGTTACATCTAGTTATTATCTGTCAACATATCACTTGGTAACCCTTCAAATGCCTCTATCCAACATTTTTATTTATTTTTATGGTCAATTATTTTATTATTTGGTTCTTGACAACTTGAGAAGTGACATTGTTTAATCTATCTTGTGCTTTGTTGATAGAGCAATCATTTATAAATTGGATATGTATGAGAGACAAGTTCAACTAATTTTGCACATTCAATTTGTTTCATGAAACATTTTGTATCTCATGAAACAATGGGATCAGATCTTATCTGGGAAAAGTTATGATTTACATCCAATAGAATGACTCCTAGCCGATATCAAGAAATGAAAAAGCAAAAGAGAAACCAAACAAGGAAAATAATGAAGCTTCTCTGTGATAGAGATAACCCATTCTGTCTGGTAGAGATAATAAGTGTAGACTCGTTGAAAGAAGCTCTCATGTAGACCAGACTTGACTTGGCTCTAGATGTGGAGATTTCAGTTATAGGATGAACATTCCCAGATACAGTGATATCTCAAATACAGTGTTCAAATATTATATATATAATAGTTAAAAATTATTCTTAATCATTATCTCTTACAAATTGAAATTGGTCAGTATGGTTTGGTTCCATCTAAACCAGTGGTTCACAAACTGTATTGGTTCAAGGTGCCCTTAATATTTAAATATTTTTCCAAAGTGCCCCAAGTTAAAACAATTTCCTAGGTTGTTTATATGTACAGCGCAAAAGCATATACTGGGCCCCTGTTTGGCAGAAATGCTTGTCGTTCAAGCACAGATCCAGAACCTAATCTTGGCAGCGGCACTGGTAGGTTATTTAAAGAAACAATCCAGGCACAATAACCACTGCAGCACTTTGTAATGGTTATGGTGCCAGTAGTGCTGTAGTGTTCTCCCAGAGCAAGTAGTCAAACTGTTTAAGAACAGTTTGACAACTTACCTGGGATCTGCTAAGATAGGGGCTGTAGTAGGGGATAGGGGCAGTAGTGTGTGTGAGGGGTGAAGTGTGTGTGTGTGTGTGAGGAGTGCATTGTGTGTGTGAAGGGTGCAGTGTGTGTGCATGTGTGGGGTGCAGTGAGTGTACAGGGGTGCATTGTGTTTGTGAAGGATGTAGTGTTTGGGTGAGAAGGATGCAGTATGTGTGTGTGTGTGTGAGGGGGCAGTGTGTGTGTATGTGGGGCAGTTTGTGCATGAGGGGTACAGTGTCTGTGTGTGGGGGCAGGTTGTATGAGGGGTACAATATGTGTGTGAGGGGTACAGTATGTGGGGGGCAGGTTGTGTGAGGGGTACAGTGTGTGTGTGTGGGGGGCAGTGTGTGTGGGGGACTGTATGTGAGTGGTATCAGTGTGTGTGAGGGGTACTGTTTGTGTAAGGAGGGGTAGTGTATATGCATGGGGGTAATGTGTGTGTGTGTGTATGGGGGGGTAATTGTGTGTATAGGGGGAGTTATTGTGGGTCTGTGGGGGTAGGAAGGCAGATAAATATATACTTTTATTTTATTTTTAATAAAAAAAAATATATTATTTGTATATCACCCCTCCCTGCTTACCTTTGCTTGGGAGGGAGGACAGTACAAGGCAATCCCTGGTGGTCCGGTGGAGAAGCCCTGGTGGTCCACGTGGAGAGAGTGAACTCCAGCAGCCTCAGGAGCTGCCAGAGTTCACGCTCGCAAAATTTAAGACAGAGTATTTAAGATTGGGGAGAGAAGTGTAGGTTAGGTATTGGTTATGTATAACATTTTTATGATTAAGAAAGAAGAAATGGTAAGAGTAAGAAATTATATTTTCTGCTTAAGATTAAAGGTGGGCGATTTAAGGTTAGCGATAGGATAGTATTTAGGGATAATGTTAAACACAGGATTTAGGAGTATGTGTGCAGGTAAAAATATAAGGATAAGGTTAGAGATAGTGTTTAGGTCTAGGGTTTGGAGTTAGAGATCGAGGTTTATAGTTTGAGTCAACATAATTTGGAGCATCAGTTGTCAAGTAGTAGTCAAATTTAGATGACACTAAAATGGCTTATTATAAACAACAAAATGATTAACTTATGTTTCCATAACATCCTAAAATTCAAATATCATATTGAAATTAGTTTCCATATAGATGCATGGAAAGCTTATGCCCCTGGCAGATCAGTGTTGCTCAAATGTATCCACACAACGTCACCTCATTTTATCAGTTGTATAAAATTAGACATAAAGTACCCATAAATGCATGCTAATGTTACCATAACTGAACACCTGAGTTACGCATTACTGCTCAAACATCACCAGAAAACCTCTGACTTTGTTACGATGTGTAAAAGAAGGGAAGCATTCACTTTAGTTTTTTTGTGACAATCATGCTGTCATTGCTTATCTTGGCTTCAGGCCCCCTTTTCTGACTCCTGTGTCAAACCTGGTTAAATCGTTCAGCGTTTTGGTTGTATTATGATATTATAAACTAGCAGTCACAATCTAACACCTAATAAAGCACCCAACTGGAGAAGTAGTAAGTGTTCCAATCTTCTGATCACCTGAACCAATTCATGGTGCTCCACAGAACCTTCGTGAGTTGGCTCAGTAAAAGGATCCATTAAAAGTGCTTATTAATCTGATTTATGGTTTAATTACCAAAGTGAGAATCTGAAAGCTTTAAGTACTATAATTATGTGCAATTTAATTCCAAGATCTAAGCTCATGTTCAATTATTCATATGTAACTATGCAATTTAAAAAGTCTTCATACTTAAAACCCACCATACTTAAAATATTGCTTTGTATAATTTCTAATTTGGTTTAGAAGGTGCAGGCACAGACTCTCCATTACAAAGTGATGGAAGATGACTCCCCTCCTGTCCACATGGAGAACATTAAGGGTTGACTTGTTGACTAACTATGAATAAGATTTGCTGTTATGGGATTTCAGAATGAGACAATTGTTGGCTAATCCTGATCTGTGACCCTTAGTTGGGTAAGCAATACTCTGACCATATTTCACTTAAAATGGTAGAATTCAGGGAAGAAACATGGTCAGAACTAGAGTGCCAATTTTCCATTAAATTGTACATTGTTTTATCAGAACATATTTTTAAAACATCCTCTGAAACAAATAAAAAAACACAATTACCCTTTTTCCCCCTACCTACTGACGTTTGAAGGAGTAGAAACACGTAAGCGAGCTGAAATATATTTTCCATGGAATCTATCCAATTTTCCTTTCACCCAAACAGAGAGGCATTGTTCGATTAAAAAATCAAAGGAAACAAACAATTTATTGTAACACAAGTTGATAAACTGCTACACAGTCTGTTTATTACTTTATTTTACTACAGCTTCATTTAATCTTCTGCCAATGTTAGTACTGCTAAGTCGAAACATTGTGTAAGCACGATTCCACTGAAGGTCTTGTAATTTGGTTCTTGGACCTCGTATAAACACAGGTGAGGCAATCAATCTTTACCAACACTTACTGTAAAACATTAAATGGATTATTTATGAAAACAGCTACAGGTATGCACGTAAAAACTGAGCTTTCATTTCTTCATATACAGTATCTGTAGTTGAATATTCATTTGATTTCTACCGTCCTGTAAAAACAATATGATAAATATGCTAGGTTAGCAAATATATACTGCACATTCAGTAACACAAGCTTTCCATGTGTTTGTTTTTAAAGTTCATGTGTTCTATGGTTCTTTCTATAAGCAAACTGTCACAGATCACAATCCATGGCAGTCTGCTTTATGCTAGATGTATTTGTACCTAAGTACAAATGTTTGTTATTAGTAAACTCAAGATGCATGCATGCTGTAATGGGCTCCTCTGAAAGATGAGATACGTACTGAATTGATGTCATATATTATTAATTTGCATGATAATTTACACCAAATAGAGGAAGATAAGATTTGAAAAATGTTGAAATGGATCTCATATGTAATATCAAATATTGCCATGTAAAATGGAAGCTCAGTAAAACTAGCATAGCAGTAACAAATTTTGTATGAACACCCAATATGAGGGTGTTGTAAGGATATTTATGTGGAAGGAAAGCTTAAACAGTTCCATGGAGTTCCATAAAGATAGAGATAAATACAGAATGCGTACATAACATAAACAGCAGTTCTAAGAAAGTGCTGGAGATACGTCAGTGAGGAACAATGCTACACACTCATAAATGGAATTTACCCCACAATATACATATCACACCCGCACCCCCACTTAAAAGGTAATAAAACTTACCTTATTTCCAACGCCGCCCTGCCCCCAATCTGCCTCCTTGGTTGACATCATCCCAATTGATGATCTCAGCCAATCCAATGCTTTCACTCAGGAAAAGCATTGGATTGGCTGAGATCGTCATGAAGGCAGGATGGGGAGGGGCCAAATGCCATATTGGACAATCAGCATCTCCTCATAGAGATCCATTGAATCCATACATCTGTATGGGGAAACTTCAGCATCTCCATGCAGAGCATGAAGATGCTGAACGTCAGCGCAATTCTATGAAAAGGCAGTGTTTACAGCAAAATGCCTGCAGGGACTGACTACAGACACCACAACAACTACCATAAGCTGTAGTTTTTCTGGTGACTATAGTGTTCCTTGAAGTTCCCATATGCACTTTTTTCCAAGACAGAATTAATGTAGAATCAGAGGTCAGACTATCAATCTGTTATGCTATTATGGGCAAAGTGATTGGGTCCTTACCTTTACTGAGCCCCAAGACAAAGTTTTCTTGATTGTCATCTCTATTAGAGTATCACTGATTAATCTATAAGCTATGGATCATTTGAGATAGTTTAGAAAAGCACTGTACTTAATATTTTGTGAAATGAAAGAAAGAATGTTAGCTTTTTACATAGTAAGCTTAAATAAAAAATATATTTGTAGTATATAGTCAACTATTTTCATTGTCATTATTGGAAATTAAATATTAAGCTTCTTTGTCACATTCAATGTCAATAGTTCTTTGATTATGGAAGAGGAACCACATACCAAAACAATGCTTACGAAATGCATACACTGTATAGATACTGTGTGACTTGTATTTCTTTTTCATGTGTGCCTTAGTCTTTATTAGAAAATAGACTTTATAATTTACAGTAAACATTCAACACTAGCATTATTATCTCTTTTTTATTGCAGAAGTGTGGAAATCATCATACTTATACTATTGTTGACATACATATGATACAACTGTGTGATTAACAGAAATATAGGATACAAGGGCAGATCCCTTTCTATGGAACAGCCTTCCTCCCGTCATCAAACTTTCTGCTACCCTATAACCTCCCAGGGAAATTGTCATTCTTTAAAGTGAATCTGTTATTGTAATTTATACTTTCTGTAGATCTTTTTACTTTTGCTGTATAGTGTCCGACATTTGCCTTTTTCACGCACCTTTTATGGAGCTTCATTGCATTTTTGGCATAATCGCCTCTTGCTAATGGAACCAGCATTGGCCTCTGTTTGGGAAGCATTTGATTTCTTTTCTATGCCTGTCTCAATCCCCTGATTATGTTGAAGTGCTGGCTTTATTGCCAACACATCATCCTATTAAATGGAGCAAGAATTTCCTCTCGTGGTCTGCTTGATCTACTCGGTCTTCAAAGCGTAGTAGTAGGGAAATCGATGTCGATGAATGCATGTGCACTGCAGCAGATTAAAGCCGGATAAGAGAACAGCCTGTAAGTGTATTCTTCAGCAGAAAGAAAATGACATAGTGTCAGGAGGGAGAGAGAGCATGTTTGTAATGAAGGATTATCACAAAAACTATACATTGCCTAGCAGTTTTGCTTCACAATGTATGGGAAGATTGATAAGAAGAATTCACTTATGCAGAAATTGGCATGACCGGTACTCTTAAATCTGTCTGCCTTTTCTTTAACAATCTGTGGCTTCACAAAACACTACAGTCTCCTACTTTCCAACTACAGTTTTCCCACACACTCACCTGTTGTTCGTATCCCTATGTTGCTCTTTTTCTTGTTTTTATGCCATACTTCCTCTAGATTGTAAGCTTGTTTAATGTTAAGAATGAAATATACAAATATCAAACATAAGCTTCTGTTATGTACATGGTATCATGGTTGTGTGATAACCCAACATGCAGTATGTAAACCCACAGAAAACCCAAGCACGTATTACTGAACCTTAGAACGGTCAGATGTAACGTAGGTAGAAAACAGTAGTCAGATTGCCAATAATCAGAATACCAGAGATATATATAAGGGAGCGTCTTTTGCTTTAAGGCCATGCCCCCAAAACGTTCTGGGCCGGTATTGATGACGTCATGACATCAGTGCACATGTGCCACGTCATAAAGAGGGGCGTGACTCCAGCGCCCGGCATGGGACATGCTGAACTCGTTGGAAGAGCAGTCTGCCCTGGATCCTGTACCACATGGGCGCAATAGAATAAGGTACGAGATCGTGACACATGGGTGATGACAGCATCCTAAATGAATGTGTGTCCGAAAGAAAATAATGAAGTATTGCCTTTATAGTTTTCAGTTCCCTTTGCAATAATGAATCCCTTTTCTTCTTGACTCTGTGTATTAATTTATCGTGCCCTTACAAAATCCCTAGAGAACTGACGCGTATCAGAAAACTATTGGAACACACAATTTCCTATACTGCCGCAATACTGTTTGTACTCTTTGGAGGTCATGAGGAAATATAAGAAGCAAGGCAGCTATTTATTCCCAGACTGTTTGATCTTTTCCATTACCCAATTGGACAATGAGATTATTCTGGAAAACATGACTTTGGATCACAGTAAGCTATGTATTTGTGTCTGGAACATATTATCATATATGGTGGGTAATCAGGTGTTTAAAAATTTCAGGGTAAATATAAAGATCACTGAAAATTCTTATATAATAACAAGTATTTAAAAAATTAAACATGGAAAAATGGAAACATAGAATGTGATGGCAGATAAGAACCATTCGGCCCATCTAGTCTGCCCAATTTTCTAAATACTTTCTATAGTCCCTGGCCTTATCTTATAGTTAGGATAGCCTTATGCACATCCTGCGCATGCTTAAACTCCTTCACTGTGTTAACCTCTACCACTTCAACCATATCATCAAAGCTGGAAGTGCACTCAGCTCCCACTAGGGAATCCAGTACCCAAAAGGACCAAGCAGATAAATTTGTAGAAAATGATCAAGGCACTCCAATGGTTTCCAATTTTTAAGGCAATTTATTTGGACCAGGAACTACAAAGCAACGTTTCAGCCCCAACAGGGCTTTTTTCAAGCTAATGTAGCACATACAAAAACATAATATATAAGTGTATACAATATTTAAATAAGTGACAAACATGTGGTATATTATCAAACATATGTCATAAACAAGTGATAGTAGTAACACTAATTAAAAGATTAGTTAGCTCTCCAATAGTAATCACATTATCAGGGGGTGTCAAAGAGATCAAAAGGTATCAGCCAATCCTATCACAAATTCAACCATTAAACTCTAATCAGTTAAATAGTATTGCAGCTGTATTCAATAGTATCTTTTTACCTTATGGAGCAGCAGAAGATTCTAAATAACTGCATTTCCTGGTGAAATCACATGATAATCATGTGACACCAACTGGCCAATTGCAGCATACCAATCACATGACCAGCATACTGCAATCTTTTTACCTTATGGAGCAGCAGAAGATTCTAAATAACTGCATTTTCCTGGCTATTATTCATGGCAGCATTTAACCTATGGGTTAAAAAAACAATTAAAAAACAATTAAATTCTTAAGTGGGCAGGTATAAGAGTATTCCAGCAGCCTCCACACACCAGTCTAGTAACTCGTTAAATAAAAGATGAGGAGGGAAACCGAAATGCTGCCATGAATAATAACCAGGAAAAGAAAATTCTGATAAGTATGAATACATTTTCCACATTCCTGGCTAATCATGGCAGCATTTAACCTATGGGAATACCCAAGTAGTAAGACTAAACACAGAGCGGGAATACATGCCAAAAAAAAAAATTAAGTAAGAAAGAGAAGAACAGGATTTGAGTATTGAAAGGCCAAACTCGGAATCAGTTCCTGAGGCAACATCCACCCTGTAATGCCGGACTCTCCAAATACTCTCTGCTGGCACACCAGCCTCTGCAGGCTATGAGGTAGAAATGGAAATGGTCAAATGAGCCCTGTCCTCCCTAGGCACTGGAACATTTTGCGACTTGTAGGCTTTTAGAGACTCTATACGAAACATTCTTACTCTTAAAAGGAGGTTGAGCTGATGTAGATCCAGTATAGGGAGTATATTTACCAGAAAGAGAGGGAATATAATCCCTGGAGCTGCTCCCAATTTGGGACCTGACTGATGACCTCTTGTTGCAACAGGTTGGCAAAATAATACTTCAATGCCCTTCTTTTCTGAGGGTTGGCAGAGAGTCTTGTTCTGACGAATCAAGGATGAGGCAATTCGTCTTCGAATTCTAGGGTGTAGCCTCTTGAGACAATAGCTCTTACCCATGTGTCTGGAATTTCTTCCCAGGCTTTCCTGAATCTTAATAGTCTGGCACCCACCAGAGATGCCTGGGGACTGCAGTCTTCAGAACTGCTTGTGGGGATAAAAGGAACTTACCTTTCCAGATTGACCACCTCTCCAGTTAGTGTTTCTGGCATATTTACGACCTGGCCTTTAGGATTTACTATCCCAATAGGCATTCGGATCCCTATATGGATGTCTGTCCTGTCGGTTCCTTCTGGTTCTTCTATCCTGTGGGAGAAAAACCTGCTTAACATCCGCTGCTCTCTTAATGGCATCTTCCAATGGCTTGCCAAACAGCACTTCTCCAGAAAAGGGGAGAGAGCATAAATTATGCTTAGAAGTAATATATGCTCCTAATGACCTGAGCCATAAGGCTCTCCTGGCTGCAATAGAAAATCCCATAGACTTTGTCAAAACTTTGATCAAGTCTGTAGAAGCTTCCAAAAGCCACTCACTGGCTAGCTTGACATCTTTCAGGGATTCAGCATGATGTCTTCTCACACCCTTGTCTTGATCCTCTTCTATATCCATAATCCAGGATCTTAGAGCTCTGGACATAGAGGAAATGGAGACCACTGGATGACAACCCAGACCTGCAGCCAAAAAGGATTTTGAGAGATTGGCATCAATTCTCTTATCCATAGGGTCTCTGAGAGAAGCGTTACTGTCTATAGGTAGAGTAGACCGTTTTCCCACCTTGATGACTGGAGCATCGACTTTGGGATTAGGGGTCCATAGTTTGAAATCCTCCTCCCTTAGGGGAAAATCTTTTTTCTGGAGTGAACCACCTTTATGGATCTATGAACTGGAAAGGAAGATTTTATCCTACTTAAGTCTTCAAAATACTTATCTGAAGCTGAAGCTACCGGAACCTCATCCGGAATCTCTGGAGTTTTCCTCACCAAGGAAAAAGATGCTCAATGGCTTTAAAATCCAGAGGATATGAATAGCTGGAAAAATCTTCTTCACTAGAAGAGATGGGCTCAAACTCCAAAGGTCCAGCATCATCTTGCCTCATCTCATCAGGGGATTCAGAATCCAATTGAAAGGTTTCAGGTCTAAGACTTTTTCCTCTGGTGGCTTCTGCCAAACTTTCAGAGCCTGTTTGTTTATATCTTGAGCAGATGTTGAGGCTTGCAGTGCTTGATGTAGTTCCGTCTCACCAGCAATTTGGGCCAAAAAATTTCTGCAAAGCCTACAATTTTCCAAGGGCCTAGCTTCACATCCTGGACAGGCCGCCGGCTTTTCCCTTCTCCTTGATGGAGATCTAAGGCCAGACCGGTCTTTAGGGCTGTAACAACAGAAGTCAATAAAAGACTGTACCCTCCCGTGCACTCTTTATAAAAGTATAATAAAAAAATTAAAAAATATATAAATGGTCACCTTTAACCTACAGCAGAAGATTTTGCTGAAGTTGGCGAAAGATCTAGAATTACTAGAATTAAAATAAAAAAAAACATTTCATTTAAATAAGGGGGGGTGACCTATTGTCCTCCCCTCTGGCCCCCACCAATGAGTGGCGAGTGGGGGCCCTAAATTAGAATAAGAGGGGGGAACCTATTGTCATCCCCCCTGGCCCCCACCCCTGAGCGGCGGGTGGGGGCCCCTGAGTGGTGGATGGGGGCCCTAAATACCAATAAGGGGGGGACCTATTGTCCTCCCCCCTGGCCCGCACCCCTGAGTGGCGGGTGGGGGCCCTAAATTAGATTAACCTATTGTTCTCCCCCCTGAGTGTCGGGATGGCCAAAACCCCTAGTAACCCCCCTCCCCCAAAAATTATTTAGCCCCTACCTACCCTCCTCAACCTAAAAATAGTGAGGGGGGACCAATAAATAGGCACCTGTAAAAAAAACAAAAAAGAAACTTACCATTTGATGTCTTCTTTCTTCTAAAATCTTTTTTCAGCCTCAAAAAAGGCGAAATAAAAATTCTCAATAACCGACGCACAAAAAAAAAATCCTTCAACACCCATGGAGGGCTCCGCACAGACTGAGCTCTGCAGGGCGGGGGAAGGCTTATAAAGAGCTCAGTCTGCACGGAGCCCTCCATAGGTGAAGATGGATTATGTTTTTTGCGCTCAGGTTTTTTTTTTTTTTAAAGTGCCACGGATATTATGGATTTTTATTTGGCCTTTTTTGGGGGCTAAAAAATTAGATTTTAGAAGAAAGAACATCAAATGGTAAGTTTTTTTTTTTTTACAGGTACCTATTTATTGGTCCCCCCTCACTATTTTTAGGGTGAGGGAGTAGGTAGGGGTTATTTTTTTTTAGAAGGGGAGTGACTAGGGGTTGGTTCTTTTGGGACTTTTAATTACCTTTGTTTTTATTCACTTCATAATTGTCTTGTCTATGTTCGGGGAAATTTCCGAACGCACCAGAGCAGGGAATCCCTCTAATCTATGTTCGTGGACTGGTTCTTTTGGGACTTTTAATTACCTTTGTTTTTATTCACTTCATAATTTTGAAGAATAAAGTATTTACTCCTAATTCTGCGTTTTGGAGATTTTACATTCAAAGGAAAAAAGAAGTTCCCAGTGAAGGTCCTGTTTTATATATTCAAGGCATCAAGTTTGATCCAGCTATCTAAGTGGCTCTATCTATGTGAGTGTGATTGGCACCTTTTGTTAATATATTGTACCAAGATATACTACTCTATGTTCTCTTTATTTGTTTTTTTCCAGATTATTTGACTACAGTGTGGGTAGTATTTCTTTGTTTTGTGTGCTCTCACCTATCAGTTATCTTGTATATATCAAAACATACACTATATGTTACATCTGAATGCCACTAAAGAAAATAGTTTAACAAATTTAGTCTTAATCTGTAATACACTACTAGATGTCCAAGCATCAAATAAAAAAGAAGTCAGAATATTTATTATTTGTTTGAAGGTAACTATGTAATACTTTCATAAATAACTTGATTTAACTTTATTGTCTTTATACTTCAAGTTGCAGTATTTTTTAAAGATTTCTAAAAATCAATAGAAAAGGTTTCTCAAGTACAAGGAACTAATCCAAATAAATGGATCACCATTGGACATCTGCATCCATTTATTAGGAGGCAGCACAAGATTGCCGCAAAAATACTGCTCCAGGCGGCACCCTGACAGGATAGTGTGTGTATTGTGTGTGTTTGTGTATATTGTGTATCTGTGGATGTCTATTGTATGTGTGTCTGTATGTGTGTAGTGTGTAGTTTGTGTATACTGCTTGTGTGGCAGTGTGTATATCTGTATGTGTCAGTGTCTGTATGTGTGTGTGTATGTCTGTGTATCTGCAGGCATATCAGTGTGTTTGTACGTTGTGTTTGTATGTCTGTATGTGTGTCAGAATCTGCATGTGTGTCAGTTTTTGATAAATATACTTACACACATACCGTTGCACAGACACACTGATACACATGCAGATATACAGACACACAAACACTGCCACACATGCAGATACATAGACAAACAGGTGCAATCACTGACACACATACAGATACAGACACACAGATACAAACAGTGACACACGTGCATGTAAACAGACTCAGTGTAAAGGTAAGTGTGTTGGCTGCAGTGCACACACACACACAAGCTACATCCCCAGCATACACAGACATATACTAAATACCCAGCACGCACACAGACACATACTACATCCCCAGCACACACACAGACACACTACATCCCCATCACACCCTTATAGAGATACTACAATTGCAGGAACATATATGTTGTTTTTTTTTTTTTGGGGGGAGGGGGACGGCGCAGCATTTCATACTTGGATCCTGGCAGCACAATGTCTTGGGATGGCCTTCATTGAATATATATATATATATACAGGTACTCCTCCCTTACTGACCGGGTTCCGTTCTTATGACCTAGTCATAGAATGAATTGGTCGGTAAGTGAGGAGTTGAGGGATTCCCTGCTCTGATGCGCTTGTCTATGTTCGGGGAAATTTCCGAACGCACCAGAGCA